GAAACCCAAGGAGGGGTCGCTATGAGTCGGGGCCGACTCGACGGCACATAACAACAACAACAACATCACTACAGAAGTAGATTGTCCCATCTTCCTTCCGAGGACTGGCTGGTGGGTTTGAACCACCAGCCTTCTGGTTAGCAGTCAAGTGCCTTAGCCACTAAGCTACCAGAGCTCCCTCTGGAGTCCCTAGGTGGTGCAAACAGTTCAACGTTCAACCAGTAACCAAAAGGTTAGCTTTTTGAACCCACCTCGCCTTGCCTGGGAGCTCTGGTAGCATAGTGCCGAAGAAACCCAAGGAGGGGTCGCTATGAGTCGGATTTGACTCAAAGGCAGTGAGTTTGGTTTGGGTTTGGTTTTGCCTCGCCTCAGAAGACAGCCTGGCAACCTGCTTCCAAAATACACAGTATTGCAAACCTTATGGAGCAGTTCTAATTTGTATATATGGGGTTTCCAGAATCAACACCATGGCAACTAACAGCATATCACTGTCATTCAGCTAATTCCTCGAGTTGATTGCAACTCACAGTGACTCTACAGGACAGGGAAGAACTGACCCATAGGTTTTCCAAGACTGTAAATCTTAACAGAAGCAAACATCCACATCTTTCTCCCTCAGAGCAGCCAGTGGGTTTGAACTGCCAACCTTTCAGTTAGCAGCCAGTTTAACCACTGTGCCACCAAGTCTCCTTAACTAACAACAACAACATCCATATTCCCATTTTCTTTTTTAGTCTAAAAGAAAATAATTGTAGTTCTTATTAAAAACAAAATAACTTTCTAACAAAGAATCTATTATCAGTATTTGAATAATTGTTAAAATTACAGTTTATACTATGGTGAGCTAAACATTTTTTGAGAAAGAAACAAGATTTAAAAAAACACCTAGGACTAACAAGATCTTGAATAAATAAAAGTTAAATTGCTATGACAGAAAATAATAATTTATGCCAATAAAATAAATGACCTGAGTTCTATCATTTACTGAGTAGTTTCAGACTATTACTTTAATCTTTCTGAATATCAGTATGAGATAACCCATTCATTAATATAGAAGGTGCCATATAAGACAGTATATGAGCCCAACATATTTTTATTCAGAAATTAAATTTATATACATAGTACATATGGTTTATAACCCATGAGACATAGAAATGAGATGTTCAAAGAGAATCAATGCCAGAAACAGGAAATGAGTAGAGGAATAAGAAAGAGAGAAAATTCAAAATCCAAAATCACAATGAGATGATAACAAAGTATGACATTATATCTTGGGTTCAAAAAGACAGACCAATATCTTGCATATTGGCTGGCGGTTCAAACCCACTAGCCACGCCTCGGAAGGAAGATGGGGCAATCTACTTCCATAGTGATACTGCCTCGGAAATCCAAGGAGGGGTCGCTATGAGTCAGGTCCAACTCGATGGCACATAACAACAACAACAACATGACATCACCAACTAGTCATTTACAAAGAATTACACTTATTACCAACTACCATAAAATGCTTGAAACTATTTTCAATTACTATACTGTCAATGATATTCTAAAAACATGATAATTTCAAAGATTTTTGTAGAACATTCAGTTTTTGGTTTCATCATCTTTTATAGTGCATAGAAATAAGTTTTGACCTAAGAGGAATTATTATATTTAATTGATCTCCTAATTTGGTAATACCTATAGCAATTCACAACTTATATTCATTTAAATGCATAAAAAGAGGAAAAAAGAGCTTATCAAGAAAATATAATGATATAAAATACTAAAAACCAGTGACTCAAAGTTACCTGCTCATTTTGCTTTCTTTCATATGTAATTTTCCAAGGACTAGGTATTATCTGGGGAGCAAAATTTTGTTTTGGAATATAACTGTTAGAAGACAATTTTGCTGAAAAAGATGGTGAAGAGAATCTATAGTTTTCTGTTCTGTTGACCCGAGGTTCAAACACGCTACATGAGTCCATGACTTGTGATGACAATATAAAAGAAGATACAATCATTTAAATTACAAAATATATAGACTAGAGAAAAGAAAGTTAAAACAGTGAAATTAAAATAAGTAAAAAGGTAAGCCAACAGCCACTCTTCGGAAGGAAGATTGGGCAATCTACTTCCGTAGTGATACCACCTCGGAAACCTAAGAAGGGGTTGTTTGAGTCACATCCGACTCGATGGCAGTGAGTTTGGTTGTTTTTGTTTTGTTTTGTTTTGTTTTTTGTTAAAAAGGTAAGAAGATATAATAGAAAAATTCTCAAAGGAAGGCAAGGCATCAGTAATTGACAGAATTTACTAAAATGAGAGAGGTTATCAACTAAGATTATATTTAAGAACTCCTTTTCTGGCTTCCTTTTTCCACTCCTGCTTCCCACTACCCTCAAAACATCACTCCTGCATATCATAGCAATCTCCTAATAAGAAGAATTTTAGTTTCATTAGTCCATAATTCAGAGGAAAGAATTTCCAAGGGATTTTTATTTTAGTATTATTGCCTTTTTCTTTGTGATATAGTTTTGCTCTGGAAATTCAAAGAAAAGACAGCACAGTTAATAATATGGCATTGGACCTTAAACAAAATTTCAGGCTTTCATTCACTGTCTGTGTGTTTTCTAATCAATCAAAACTTTATTTTTTTATATTTAGAAGGAAAAATAATCTGAGGATTAATGTGACTATCAAATATCACAATTTGGTATAAAATAAAATAATCTGGTCAGTATATTTGAAGATATGAATTGCTCAATAATCATGTGAACTCAAACTAAGAATCCCCATGTAAATGGATCTTGGGGGCTCATCAGATACCAACCAAATCAAATGTTATGCATACATTGACTTGGTCTGTATTACTAGTTAGTACTCCAAAATGTTTCTCATAAGCAAACTATTAAGATGTTCTGAAGGTATAAGTTCCTTACACTGAACATTTAAAAAAAATACCTATATTTTGAAAGAATTTTGTAAAACAATATTACTAATTTTCCCCAATATTACACTATTTAGATCACTCTCTGCATTTTGTTGTTGTTGTTATGTGCTGTTGAGTCATCTCTGACTCATAGCAATCTTATGCACAACAGAAGGAAACACTGCCCAGTACTTGTGGCAACCTCACTATCTCTACTATATATGAGCCCATTGCTACAGCCACTGTGTCTATCCATCTCATTGAGGGCCTTCCCCTCTTTCATTGACCCTCCATTTTACCAAGCATGGCATCCTTCTCCAGAGAATGGTCCCTTCTGACAACATGACCAAAGTAGGGGAGATAAAGTCTGGCCATTCTCACTTCCAAGGAGCACTCAGGCTGCACTTCCTCCAGAACAGATTTGTTAGTCCTTTTAGCAGCCCACGGTACTTTCACCATTCTTTACCAACACCAGAAATCAAAAGCATCAACTCTTCTTCCATCTTCCTTATTCATTGTCCAGCTCTCACATGCATATGAGGCATTTGAAAATACCATGGAGTGGGTTAGGCACATCCTAGTCTTCAAAGAAATATCTTTACTCTTCAGCTCTTGAAAGAGGTATTTTGCAGCATATTTGCCCAATGTAATACGTCTTTTGATGTCTTGACTGCTGCTTCCATTGGTGTTGACTGTAGAACCAAGTAATATGAAGTCTCTGACAACTTCAATCTTTTCTCCATCTATCATGATGCTGCTTATTGGTCCAGTTGTGAGGATTGTTTTCTTTATGTTGAGGTGTAATCCATACTGTCGACTGTAATATTTAATTTTCATCAGTAAGTGCTCTAAGTCATCCTCATTTCAGCAAGCAAAATTGTGTCATCTACATATTGCAGGTTGTTAATAAGCCTTCCTCCAATCCTGATGCCACATTCTTCTTCATATACTCCAGCTTCTCAGATTATTTGCTCAGTATACAAGTTGAATAAGTATGGTGGAAGGATACAATCCTGACACACTCCCTTCTTGATTTTAAACCATGTGATATCCCCTTGTTGTGTTTGAACAACAGCCTCTCGGTCTATGTACAGTTTCCTCATGAGTACAATTAAGTGTTCTGGAATTCTCATTCTTCTCAAAGTTATCCATAATTTTTTATGATCCACACAATCGAATGCCTTTGCATAGTCACCAAAACACAAGTAAACATCTTTCTGGTATTCTTTGGTTTGAGCTGAGATCCATCTCACATCAGCTATGATATCCCTTGCTCCATGTCCCCTTCTGAACCCAGCTTGCATTCTGGAAGTTCTCTATCAATATACAGCTGCAACTATTCCTGAATTATCTTCAGTAAGATTTTACTTGCATGTAATATCAATGATATTGTTAGGTAATTTCCACATTCTGTGGGATCACCTTTCTTTGGAATGGGTACAAATATGGATCTCTTTCAGTCAGTTAACCAGGTATAGCTGTCTTCCAAACCTCTTGGCATAGCTGAGTGAGTGCCTCCAGTGGGGCATCCATTTGCTGAAACATCTCAGTGGGTATTTTGTCAATTCCCGGAGCCTTGTTTTTCACCAATTCCTTCAGTGGAGCTTTGACTTCTTTCTTCAGTACCATTGGTTCTTGATCATATGCCACCTTCCAAAATGGATGATCATCTACCAATTCTTTTTGGTATAGTGACTCTGTGTATTCCTTCCATCTTCTTTTGATGTTTCCTGCATCATTCAACATATTGCCCATAGAATCTTTCAATATTGCAACTCAAAGCTTAAATTTTTTCATCAGTTGTTTCAGCTTAAGAAATGTTGAGCGTGTTCTTCCCTTTTTGTTTTCTAACTCCAACTCTTGGCACATTTCATTATAATAACTGACTTTGTCTTCTTGTGTTGCTCTTTGAAATCTTCTGTTCAGCTCTTTTATCCTGTTGATTCTCCCACTTGCTTTAGCTACTCTCCCTTCAATGCCAAGTTTCAGGGTCACCTCTGACATGTTAGTCTTTTCTTCCTTTCCTGTCTTTTTAATGACCTTTTGCTTTCTTCATGGATGAAGTTCTTGATATCACAATTCTAGTTTTCAGTCACTGGTGTTCAGTGCATCAAATCTATTTTTTAGATGGTCTCTAAATTCAGGAGGGATAAAATCAAGGTCATATTTTGACTCTTATGGAGCTGTTTTAATTGTCTTCTGTTTCAACTTGAACTTGCACTTGAGCAGTTGATGTTCTGTTCCACAATCTGCTCCTGGCCTTGTTTTGGCTGAAGATATTGAGCTTCTCCATTGCCTCTTGCTGCAGATGTAGTCAATCTGATTCCTGTGTACTCCATCTGGCAAAGTTCATGTGTATAGCTGCCATCTGTATTGTTGAAAAAAGTTATTTGCAATGAATAAGTCATTGGTCTTGCAAATTTCTATCATGCAATCTCTAGTGTCTTTTCTATCACCAAGACCATATTGTCTAACTACTAGCGATTCTTCTTTGTTTCCAACTTTTGCATTCCTATAACCAGTGATAATTAACACATCTTGATTGCATGTTCGGTTGATTTCAGACTTCAGAAGTTGGTAAAAAATCTTCAGTTTCCTCATTTTTGGCTTTGGTAGTTGGTGCATAAATTTGAATAACAGTAATATTAACTCATCTTCCTCATAAACCAAAAAAAAAACAAAAACAAACTGACCGTCATCGAGTCAGATCTGACTCACAGCAACCCCTCCTTGGGTTTCCAAGGCGGTATCACTATGGAAGTAGATTGCCCAACCTTCCTTCCAAGGAGTGACTGGTGGGTTTGAACCACCAGCCTTCTGGTTAGCAGTCATATGCCTTAGGCACTATGCCACCAATATGTATATTATCCTGTCCCTGACAGCATTGTACTTCAGGATAGATCTTCAAACATTCTTTTTAATGATGAATGCCACACCATTCTTCTTCAATTTGTCAATCCTGGCATAGTAGATTATATGGTTATCTGATTCAAAATGGCCAAAACTGGTCCATTTCAGCTCACTAATTCCTGGGATATTGATATTTATGCATTACATTTCATTTCTGACAACTTCCAATTTTCCTATATTCATACTTCATACATTCCATGTTCTGATTATTAATAGATATTTGCAGCTGTTTCTTCTTGAGTTGTGCCACATCAGCAAAAGGAGGTCCTGAAAGCTTTACTCCATCCACATCATCAAGGTCAGCTCTATTCTGAGGAAGCAGCTCTTTCCTAATCATATTTTGAGTGACTTCCGACCTGAGGGGCTCATCCTCTGGCACTGTAACAGACAGTGTTTCACCACTATTCATAAGGTTTCCACTGGCCAATTCTTTGAGAAGTGGATGCCCTCTTCCTTCTTCCACGTCTGCCTTAGGCTGGAAGCTCTAAAACCTGTCCACCATGGCTAACCCTGTTGGCACCTGAAACACTGGTAGCACAGCCTCCAGCATCACAGCCCAACATACAAGCCACCACAGGATGACAAACTGACAGATGAGTTTGTCTCCCTTAGCTGTTCCAAACTACTCTACTCTCACTTTCTAGCCTTCTCTACCAGCCCCAGCCCTCCAAAAAGCCGTCTGCATATCACTGTTAAAATAACATAATAGTATAAACCAAAACAAACCCACTTGCCATCAAGTTGATTCCAACTCATAGCA